TCGGCCTCTGAGGCGGAGCGGGAGGAGCGTCCGCTGCCCAAGGCGCCGCCGGCGGCCGGGGCTGAGCCGCGTGCCAAGGACGCGGGGACCGGCGCCGCCAGCAAACCCCACGGCGGCTGCAGTGCCTTTGGCTCCATTAATGCCAGGACTAGTAGTGAAATAGCAAAGGAGCTGGAGGAACAGTTTTACACCCTGGTTCCTTTCGGTAGGAATGAGCTCCTGTCTCCTCTGAAAGACAGTGATGAGGTAAAGTCGCTGTGGGTCAACATTGACTTGGCTCTTTTGTCCAGGATTCCAGAGCGTTTGCCCGAAGAGCCACTGGCCATGAGCGCCGGAGCAAACCAGCCGGCCAGCCTCCCGCAGGGTAGTAGTGCTGACCCCCCCGCAGAGAAGGGTTTACCGAAATCTAGAAGAAAGCGCAAGGTGAGCTTCGGGGGGACCGATTGGGGCGGGTAGTGGGGCCTCCGGCAAGTGGGAGGCAAGCATCACTTGCGCCCACGTTCAGTGCTCGATGGCAGCGTCTTCTCTGGGCTGGCACTTCAGAGCTGGGATTTGTCCCTGCTCGACACGTAGGAACTGGCCAAGCCCCAGGAGAGATGTCATCCCAGGAGGTGATGAAATCCCTGGCCAAGAGGGATCCCAGCCCCTTGGAGATGGCGTTCGCTGCTGGCACGTGACTTTCCACGCCTTAGCGAAGGCTGTGCCTTTTTCGTGGGACAGTTTTCTCTCCTGAGGCTTCTCTCAAAACCTGAGCATTTGGAGGTGATGCTTATGTTGGCACGGTCTGCACAGTATCACTGCCTGTGTGGAAAAAGAAGAGGCAGTGTCTTTTTTCCCCTCAGACTGTCAACAAGAGGCAAACCCTTCAGTCCCAGCAGGGAGCCCTGGCTTCATGGGGGATGCACTTGCAGAGACTTGCCTGGCTCTGCAACCTGCCTCCCTCGCACCCCCACAGCCCCCTTTTACCTCAGGGCTCTCAGGCAGGTGTAGAAGTGGGAGTGTAGTCCATTAGCTGCCCCCTCCCCAGCAGCACCATCACAGCAGCCAGGTGGGCACAGCCCCCTGGTCACATCCACCCCTCTGCCCTGCCTCTCCCACATGCTTTCTGAGCTGCCGGTGGTGCCAAGGAGAAATCCTCCTCCACCCCATGGCCACAGCTGTCCACCGAGAAGGATTTCTGATCCATTTGTACCAATCTGATCCCAAAAGTCACTCTGAACTGGAATTGCCATCTGCCCAATTTCTGGATGGTTTTACTGTGCAGTCATCTGTTGCCCTCAGCTATTGTACACGTGCAGATTGAGCTGTATATTTTTGAGGACCATTTATCTAAAGCAGTCTTTCCTTTTTTTATCTGTTTTCATTTTTTGGTTCTTTTTTTAGTATCTGAAAGGTGGCAACCCTGTTCTGGCCTCTGGTAGAGCCATAAACAGAGTGCCCTGATAAGCTTTCAGATGTGTTTGTCTGAATTTTCTTTAGGAAGTAGTATGGAAGCAATTGCACAGTACAAAATTATGGGAAACAGGTCAAGAAAGAGTGGCAGAAGCAAAATAGTTATATTTTAGGCCATAGGAGATGCCAGTGTGATAGTGCCAGGCTGTATATGCAGATGGAAACAGGAGGACACGATAGAAGAGCAAAATAAATGCAGTCATTCTAGAAATGTTTAATCTGACCTTCTGTGGCACATATTATCTTTTACTCTTCTGTCTTAAAGCACTACTGTTGTTGTTGGTTTTAGTGATATAATAAATACAAGGCATTCCTGGAGTACCAAATTGCCCCTCAGCCTGGAATAAGGCCCTCAATGGGACAGCTGCTATGCAAGCTCACAATATGTGATCCCCCTTCCCAAAAGACTTTATGAGTGAGACTAATAAGAATGGATTATCAGGCATAACTGCAAAATTAGAAAGAAGTCCTTATCACTTCCACCTGTCATGATCTTGAGAAGATGAGCAAAGTAGAGACAGAGGAGAATGGTTAAGCACTGCGGTGTGAGATCATCACTCCTGTGGAGTGTAAACTACAATGTTAACCCCATAGCAGCAGCCACAGTGGCAGTGGATAACACAGAACATGTTGCTGCCATGCAGCAAGGCAATAAATACAGCAGAATCAACAGAACACAAGTAAAACTCAGCCAGCACTGGAAATTGGAGAATTGTTAGAAGTGGAAAAGGATGTGGACTTTGCAGGAGATTAGGAAAGCAGAGCCTTTGGGAGCCAATGACAGAACCTAAGGAACATAACATGAAGTTAAATAGTGGCAGGTAACATTGGCTATGTTCATACTAGTAGGCCACATAGGGCCAGGGTGCAGTCCCCAAGCGGTGGCACACAGTCACCTACTTAGTTTAACTTTAGCATGCTTGCTAACGTGGTTTTGGCCTGGGTCAACTTATGTTCTTCCAGACAGCGTCTGGCCCTTGCCTGGGACCAGACTAAGGTCCCTTCCCAAAAGGCAATCTGAATGTGGCACACCTTGCTTTGAAGGAGGAGCTAGACAAGTGCTTGGGTATGAGCTGTGCCATGCCAGCTGGCCTCAGGACCAGTTGCTGATCTGTTGTATTTACTAGTACAGGCATAGTCACTGATGCCAAGAAGAGAGGGAGAGACAAAAAAGGTATGAGGTTGAGGACTAAGCAAGAGAACAGCGCACAGGACATGGACAAAGAGGGCAATATAAAGAAAAAATATCCCAAGGTGCAAGTGGGGAAGTGGTGGAAACAATTCAAGTTTTATATTCTACTCCTTTGTTTACACACTGCCTCTTTAGATTTATTTTTTTGAAGACATGGACCAATCATCTCTGATCTCTGTTAGGTATATGCTCAAAGAAAGTGTCATCATTAAAACCAAAATGCCAGAAAATACAAGCCCCTGACTTGTTGAAGTACTTTTGGATCTGTAGTAAATCCAAAACCTACAAGATTATTATTTTTCTCTTCATTCAGTGTGAGAATGAGGAAGAGTGCAGAGACATCAAGAAGACTCACTTAGAGAGAGAGAGTTCTTCACGATTAGCTGCCTCTGCCCACAGCATCACAACAGCAAATCACTGCAATATGAATGAAAATAGGTAAGTGTTTTCCTTCTTATTTACCACTGAGTCATACAACTAGTTGCAGTTTAATGCCGTGTGTTATTTTTTCCTTTAATAGGATTTATTTTTTAATTTTCATATTTTATGTTGAAAAATTACCCACTGCATTCTCCTTTCATCTGGTTTAATGAACAAGTTAGCAGTTCCTGACACATTTATATACTTGTGGTTTTGTCCTATTGCACAAAGAAGTTGTGAGCTCAAGTATGAGGCTCATGGAATGAGTAATTATAGCTAAAGCAATGCGATTGTCTGAGACATATTCCCAAACACTTTGTTGTAGGTTCCAATTCACACAGAAAACCGTCTTATACCTTTTTCTTTCCTTAAAGTGTTACTAGTTTCAAACTTAAAGTTTGACTGTATAAATACAATTATCTATAAACTCTATGGAAAAGATTGAGAAAAACATTCATAACAATGCCTGCAATACTCCATTCCAGAATATATATGAGATCCAATGTTTTTAAGATTACAACCAATCTATTCTGTGTAATTATTAAGTATTTTAGGACAAGGAACTCAGACTTTAAAAACAATGAGATTTTCAAAGGATGCAGGGCATGAAACAAATGATTAATATTTAGCATTTGCTGGCATGCTTTATGCACACAGACCCCTATCAATGTCAGATCAATCATACTGAGTTTCTCTGGAGGCTTTCAGCAGTCAAACTTAGACACACATCTTTTCAGAGTTCAGCTGCATGCTACTTAGCACACGCTGGTCATCAGTATTTTTAAAAAAATCATTTTCTGGTAGTATCAGGGTATCTCTTGGGGTGAAACTGCTTTTGTATTTATTGTAGTAGGCTTTTCTATTGTACACATCACTGATGAGTTTGAGCAATTCTTGTCATTAATACTGGAAAAAATCATGGAGAAGACTAATATATATAGTGCTTATTCAAAAATATGCATTCCATTTCTTTGTCCTGACATGTCACATATGTTTCATAAAGTGAAGACAATACACAGAACAGTTTGTTTTATTGTGGGTGATTGCATACAGGCATGCCGTTCCTGTTACTGCACTGTCATATGTTTTACATTGCATTCATTTTCAGAGAATAACATGGCTGTCATATCTTGCTATGTCACAGGGTTAATTCTGTGCTTCCTGGAAGCAGGACAATAATTTGTGTTTTGCTTGACATTATATGCAGTACTCCTGGTAGCAACTGTACATTAAAGAAACAAAGAAGGTCTTAAATGTATATTTGCCTCCCAATTCTTCCCTGGTCTGCCCTGCTTCCAAGATGTTTCTGTGGTTTATGCTACTGTAGGACATGATATCAAATGCTAATATTGCCACAGCTGAGGATGGGCTCCTGAGGCTGTAGCTAAACCAGCAGTGCAGATACCAGGACCTCCTGTTCGTCTTGCAACCAGCAGCTGCTCATGCTGGCACATCCCCCCTCCAGTTATGCCACCATAGCTGCCTGTGAGGGTCTCCTGTAAATTCACTCAGGAAACTTGTCTGAAACCAGAACTCTTTTTTTTTTTTTTTGGCAGGGTTATTATTATTCAGCTCTCAGCAGAGCCAGTCAGCCAGTTTTGTCAGCACAGCTGAGGGCTGGTAGCAAAGAGAGGAGCAAAACCACCTTCAGACATGAGCATTTTCTACTGTGGAATTACAGTCTGAGGTGCAGATTAAGCAAAGCCCTGTTTGACAAGAAAGGCTGCAGGGTCAGGCAGAGATACCCCAAATATCTTGCACTTACATCGGATGCCACGATCTGCCCAGTCCCAGCAGATGACAGCTCACTGCAAGTTGTCCTGCATGGCTTCTCAGTGTAAGACGATTGTGCTGCTGCAGTTTGCTCACAACACGTTTAGGTGGGCCCTCCACAATGTGCCAAAGGCCATGTAGAAGGTCTGCAACACAACTAGAAATTGCAGCTACTCTTCGCAAGCTCTGGGCCAAGCTTTTGAGGCTTGGGTACACTTCCAAAGAGCTATGGCTTCTCTTGGGTGCTTTAGGTCTGCACTTTGACAGTGATATATAAACATGGCAAGGCATGGGTTTATGTTTGAAAAGAGGAAAAGAAATGACAGCATCAGCCTGCACATTCAAAATAGTCCTAAAGATCTTATTTTTCTTAGGGGAAGAAGAAAGGTACAGTTGCCCATCTTACACACCCTGATTCTTGCTTTTGTAAACAGCATTGGTCATTAAAGCAAAACAGTTCACATTGCGTTTTAAAGGTACTACACTGTGGGAAACAGGAAAGGTTCTGAATGACGATTCATGGCTTCTTTCACAGCTAGTTTTTAAAGACTTGCCAGATAAATGGACAAATGTATGATAAGAGCACATTTAATTAGCCCTGTTCCCTGAAATTATGTGCAGAAATAAAGTATAGTTTGTACCATATTCTTTTTTGCAATTCCATTAAGTGTACACTGTCTGATACAGTAACTATAAAGAAGTGAGAATTGTCCATAAAAAGTAATAGGCTGAATAAAGGGGAATGTGACAGGGAAAGGTATTGTGTTAAAATAGTCTGTCTGACCTTAATCACAGTTTTAGTCTTAATGCAGACTGTCTCCTTGAAGAAACTTTTATTTTGTGTGTGTTGCTTTAAGATTTTCAGCTAAATATTTTCTTCAAATTAGTGCATCTGAAGTTTATTTCTGGGCATATTTTTACGGTCTGTCTGACTTCTCCTCATCCAAAGCTTCTCCCAAATAAATGAAAGCTGAAAATACTGTCTGTGTTATAGCTTTCTTCTTTAAAAGACGGAGCAGCTCACATTTCTCTGCGTCTACTGTTTGCATATGTTTCCTTTTGTCTGCACTACCAGCCTATCTTTCTTTGTCTTCAAAATCTGTATTAGATTAGTATAAACAGTGCTACCAAAGGCTGGGCATTGAGCACAAAGACAAGCCAGTCATCTTTAAACACATTTCCTCTTTTAGTTCACATATGGTTTTATTGCCATGGCTTATAAATTGTCACCTGTAATGGTGAAATAGGGCTCCATAACCTGAACTTACACTTCACAGCCTAATCTTCGTCTCCAGCTATCCCTTAAGAAATGGTGAGCAAGTGGCCATTTATCTCTGTATTTTTTTTCAAGTACTCTGATACAGACTTTATATTAACTCCAGAATTACAATTTGCCTTGAAGGGAAAGAGGAGAAACACGATACAAATTTGTAAATGAACTCTTGGTCCCAATACTGTAAGCTTGTTTCCAGATACCAATAGACTTTATCCTGCCAGCAGGTTTTAAATTCAAAGTTTTGGTAATATATAAAACATTTACCTTTCTCAAAGCCAGCTTTGTGACACTCCATTACTGTAATTTCCATTTCCAGCTTGGCAATACCAATAAATAAAAATGAGAAAATGCTTCGGTCACCCGTCTCTCCCCTCTCTGATGCATCAAAACACAAATACTCCAACGATGATTTAACTTCCTCCAGCAGACCTAATGGCAGCAGTCTATTACCTTCCATCTCCTCCAGCAAAAAACATAAGGGTGAAATCCAGTCGCAGCCACATCCCGGAGACTTCAATGTAAGTTTATGCTGTTGTTCACAATATAAAGCCTAGCTCTATATTTCTCACTTTGTATTGCAGTCTGTGATAGTTTTGCAGAATGTTATATGCAAAAAAATTGTAATAATGAATGTTGTATTATAAGTTCAGCTTTTCTGGTTTGGAGTTTAGCAAGGCACAGAAGAAAGGAAAGAGGGCAGGCTGTAAAGCAGGCAAATAACAAAGGCTACATAAGCAAAAGGTAAAAGCTAATGACCCAGAACAAATGGCTTTAGGCCTCCAGAGTATTGCCTGGGCACGATGCAAGCACCCTACATCCAAAAGTGTGGTGTATAAGGCCTCTGCTGTACAAGGCATCTACTCAGCCCCTGCCTAACCATGAGCGTGCCTGCAGACAAGTTCTCCTACATGTCTTACAACCAACTTTCTCAGACATTTCTACTTACTCTTGACGCTGGTGAACAGCTTAACACCAGTCGCACGACTCAGCTCCATCAGAGCCCAGGTATTCAGATACTTATCAGAGGGTCTTGCTCACACTAAATGTGTCCAGAGTGCTCTTCCAGATAAGGCCATATTACTACACGGCGTGGTAGCCACTGCCTTCAGAGCAGGGAGAGAGAGGAGTAGATGCTGCCCCCATTTATGCAGGAGTTCTGTGATTAGGATGCTGGAGTAAAGAGCCTGTTAGCTCTTCTGATTGAGGGAATTCACACCTCCCTCTCTCTCACTTCACAAAATCATACCCCACCCTCCAGCCTACAGGACACTGCCAGTAGAAGAGCAAGGGCAGAATATTGTCGTGTCCTCCCCTTGAAGCTGTTCTGCTTTGTGTAAAATACCTAGAAGAAGCAATTAGGGTGCCGTCATATTGATGTCCACTTGTCCTGGTTTCGGCTGGGATAGAGTTAATTTTCTTTCTAGTAGCTGGTATAGTGTTATGTTTTGGATTTAGTAAGAGAAAAATGTTGATAACACACTGACGTTTTCAATTGTTCTAAGCAGCATATATACTAAGTCAAGGATTTTTCAGCTTCTCATACCCAGCCAGCAAGAAGGATGGGGGGGCACAAGAAGTTGGGAGGGGATGCAGCCAGGACAGCTGACCCAAACTGGCCAAAGGGATATTCCATACCATGTGATGTCATGCCCAGTATATAAACTGGGGGGGGTGGGGGGTGGCCTGTGGGGGGGATCACTGCTCGGGAACTAACTGGGCATCAGTCGGCAAGTGGTAAGCAATTGCATTGTGCTTCACTTGTTTTGTATATTCCAACCTTTTTATTATTATTGTCTTTTTATTATTATCATTATTAGTTTCTTCCTTTCTGTTCTATTAAGCTGTTTGTATCTCAACCCACAAGTTTTACCTTTTTTTTTTCTGATTCTCTCCCCCATCCCACTGGGTGTGGGGGAAGCAAGTGAGCGACTGTGTGGTGCCTAGTTGCTGGCTGGGGTTAAACCTCAACACCACTGCTGGAGCATCTAGTCAAGCTGTAAGGACATTCTGCTGCTGCTAGAAAGGCCCATGCTCCTCTCCTTGCTACAAAAGCCGTTTATGTATTTTTATCCTATATCTATTTGTTGTATTTGTTATTTGATATGTAAGAGGCTTCAAAAGCCTAAGTGTTAGTGCCTAAGCAACTTTCAGGAAAACAAACTACCTGAGTTGTAGCAGTGGTCTCTTCCAGCCACTTTTGCTGTGGGGATAACTGGCACCATAGTATATGTTAAGTATATACTTAAATATATTTATTTTTTGAGAGTGGACAGGGAAGTAGTAACTATAATCTTAATTTTGGACACTTTTTAAAAAACAAGTTATCATAAATTGTGTGTTTCAAGAATATCTCACAGATGCTTTTGATAAATTGAAATAAAATTAATTACACAAAAATATTCCAATAAAAAGGCATTTTAACATAGCATAGTCATTAATTTATTTTTTCATGGATTAAATGTAAATTTTTAAACATTTTAACTTCTAAAACATAAGTTTAGAAGTTTATAACCCATTCAGAATTATAATTAGATGATTCTTCACTGGGTATCTTGAAAACAATTTAAATTCCTTCACAGGCAAATGTGCTGGAAATCAAAAGTAAAAGGTGATTGCTTTATGATCCACACCCTTAGCAAATGCATTTCACTGAGATTTTCTGCATAGCCTAGCAATGCACCATTTGGTCAACATTTTAACAACCTTTGCAATAAAATTCTTAACGTATCTGGTTATTCATCTGAAAACTTTAGCCTGCTGAACTGATCTGGATGTGCCATATAGAATAGGAGAGCTCATGAACTATAAATGTTAAAGTCAGCTTTGTTTTATCCCATCTTCCCACTGGCACGTAGCTGGCATGCCCAAGTGGTCCTTCGAATTTGTGTCAGAGACCACAAGCCAGGGAGTGGCTTTTATCTGTTTTAGCTTTTTGCCCATTTCCCTATTGTGTTTGTCCGTCACCTGACAGAACAGAACAGTGTTTTCTGGCAGTGATTATCAACCAAAACCAACGTGGAGCCCTCTGCTTTGCACTGTAGCCCACACAGCAGGTCACTTGGTAGGACGAAGGGCTCATGAGGCCACATGAAGAACAGGGCTGCAGCTGAGGGAATGCGTGAGACCCTGCCAAAAGACACGTGCTTCCTCTGTGGCACAGAGCAGTGATCTTTCAAGCTGATCAGGAACCCAGAGCAGAAAGAACGCTGGACCTTGGGCTACAAATTCGTACCACATAGGCCCATCAGCAGTGCAGCATGAAACGAGTCAAACAAGTGAGCCTTGCTCTCCCGAGGCAAGGTACAATGCTAGTTTGGAAGCCAAAGGCTAGAGAGATAACTTGATCTTCTAAATGACCACAACAGATCTATTCTACAATAATTTCACTTACTGTGTTTCAGAGTGTTTTGATAGTTACTAATAGTTCAGCTCAATTTCTTCTGTATATCACATTGAAACTCGAGCCCTTTACAGAGTGCTCTGAGCAATATCTGTGAATTTGTGGCTATCAGTGACAGGACGGTTGTACATAGTCCCTGCTGAAATAGTAGGAAAACTAACTGCCAATTTACAACACAATGCAAAGACGCTCTGTTGTTTATTAGTTGCTTTTTTGAAGTTAGTAGCCAATTCCTCAATGTCTTCCCTGCTGTTTGTTGTCTAGAAAGCAATTCACATCAATTCAGAAAATGTTCTTCTCTGCAATAAGCCACAGTCCCAAACAGAGCCTTGGTCACCTCTGTCCAGCACACCCAGGGACTGCAGAAGGACAAAGCTTATCTTTGATGATATGTAAGTACAGATGACTTCTTTAAAACAGCAAAACAATGTTATTTTCTGCATTTAAAGAGAGAAAAATACAATTTGTCCAACAGGAACCAAGACATGGCCAAAAGTATTATAGTAATAATGTACCCTGAGAAATGAATGAGACATGCTATATAAACTCTTTAATTTTTCACCATAAATCAAGCCTCTAACCATCAGGGAGCGGTGAGGACTGGTTGTTCCCTAAAGGAGAGGGAGCCAGGAGCCAAGGGGTGGAACGCGGCTGGCAGGGCAGGGGTCCGGTCCCACAACACCCAAGGACGGTGAGCAGGGCCGGCCCAAGGGTGGATCCAGGTTCAACCAAGAGCCTAGGTCCTCCAGCAAGTCCATGGCGATGAGGAAGGCCCAAGGTCAGGCCAGGAAGTCAGGTCAGGATCAGGCCCCGTGAGGGTCAGGCGCAGCCCGGTGACTGCCAGGCGGGCACAGGGACGAGGCAGGTCTGAGGTCCGGCCGGGAAGACAGTCCCGGGTCAGGGTCCAGATCAGCGGGGGCCACGGCCGGGCACAAGCGTGGCTATGAAGGGCTGAAGGCAGGCACCCTTACCGTGAGTTGGACAGGGAGTGAAGGCCCAGACCTGAGCCTAAGTGGATTCCTTTAGCCCATGGGCAGAGGGGGGAGGCCCCACGTGAGGCAGGTCAGGGCCATTAAGGCTTTATTAGTACCCTCAGGGCTCTGGCATCAATAATGCACACATCAGACTATTAATATATACAGAACCGTAGTAAGGCGGGGGGAGACGGGCACCCTTCTTGTGCACCCTTTGGAGCAAGGAGAGAGGACATATGGGAGCCTTGCATCCCTGAGTCTTGACAGCTGCTGCTGTGGTTGCTGCTGCTGTCATTGCTACTGCTGCTCAGAAAAAGATATCACAAAGACAGGGCAAGTAGGAAGCAGCAGTGATTAGCATGAGTACCTGGAGGGACACCTGGCCCTGCCCACCTCCACTACATCTGTCAGACATCCCCTGCTCTCTTCCTCTGAAAATAATTTAAGCTTGTAATTGTCTTTCTTTTCTTTTTGGTAAATTAAAATTGCTGGTTTGTTTCCCAAGGTCATTTAGGATGTGATATTATTTAGACAGGGTATAAAGGTGAAACTCAAGGTTTAAATCCTAGTATCTAGAAAATTCAGATTCTTCTTGACTGGTAATGTTCTAGCCTGAAAATACTGATTTTTTCTGGCTAGTCTAGAAGAGGTTCTGTTCAAGCTGTGCCTCAGACTGCCTGGAGCTCCATAAGCTGTGTGACCTTGATGCACCTTTTGTACTCCCAGACTTTTACCCAAAACATCTCTGACTTTTATACCAAAGGAAACCCTGGGATAACAGCCTTGTTTCCTCAGGAACTGCTTTCTACCAGAACTGGGATTTTTTAATAATATTAATAATAAGAATAATAATAGTAGTAGTGGTAGTGGTAGTAAGATTTGTTCACACTACCTGGTCTCAGGGACAACTAGAGGGACAGTAGCCTCTCATAAAGAGAATCCAGGTTTCCTACTATAAGGTATAAATAATTCCCATAGACTTCGAAAGGCTGTAACTGTTTTATGTGTCAAGAAAAGAAGGCTGGTGAGATTAATTTCTGTGTGTATTCGTGGCAGTCATAAGAAGATGTAAGTTGAATAAATCAATTTTTCTGCCCCTTTTGGAGAAAACTCTCCCCTGTGTATATATCCTTGTTTTCCCTCTTTCTCCACCTCCCTCCATGTTTTTAACTCTTTCAGTACATTTATTCAACAATCTCCACTGAGGAAGTTTGAAACTGTTTAGAAGTACTGCCTAACTCTTCATATCTCTTAAAATACTTTATAATCTATAATTTACTTGCAACTGTTCAAATTTTTTGCAGTCTAAACGTGTACATGCAAGGCAGAAAGGTATCAGTGTGCCTGACAAAAGTCAAAATTGTAGGACATGCTCATCTGTTTGGATTAGGAAAAAACACAGTCAGAAACAACTACAACAGAACTATTGTATCTTCAGCTGATTTTCCCTCAAGATGCTGATGAAAAGCAGAGGGACTGGTTTGTTTCATTTTTCCTGTAGAATACTGTCATAGGAAAACTTTTTTCACTGTCTCTATCATCTAAGAAGTTTTTATTACTTTCTTTCTCCGTTAGTGATACATGTGATTTCTCTGGTAGGCATCTTCAATAAAACTGCTTCACTTTTTCGGGGAGAGATACAATTAAACTGTTCGTGTATAGTGCCTTCCATGTAGAATGTCCCCATGCAACTTGTGGCCCATTAAAAAAAAAGCACTCTAAAAAGCCAAATAAGATAAAGCACAGAATCAAATATGTCTTAATTTGCCCTTAAAAAACAGAAATGGTTAAATGCCTGTTGCACTAACTAGAGGAGGGAGATTTTCATGTACTGCAACTGTCATCCACAACCTGGATCTAGGAAACACCACCAGAATACCAGCTATGCTAGACCTTGATTCTGAAATTACTGTGCAGAGAAGTCACTGAAATGTAGCATATTAGACTGGCTGCAAATGTTAAATGTCAACAAATTTGACTCACATGTTAGAAGAATCAAATTAAACATGGCAGCCAGTGTCTTTCAAATCATATAGTACCACAGCAGAGGATTTGAAGAAATGCAATATAGTAGGTCTAAAATTATGTAGTAATCCTAATGGCAGCATTTGTCTAAAATGATGCCTATGAAGTACTTCATCTCATAATCCATGAAGTTCTGAATTACTGTAATTCACCCATGGCTTTCAAGTCTTCATTTTAATCAGACTCCATAGTTTTTAAGAGGCTAAATCCCTTATATTTGATTTAAAACAACAACTAATTTTTTTGACCAATCAGTGTCTCTTTGCTTTATTCTCAATTTATTTTCTCCAGATCATTGACAACAGCTGTCACTAGCAATAAATTGGAACACAAGTAGGTCAATAAAAAGTATATCTTGCTTGGCAGAGTGCTGTATACACCTACATCACAATATAAAAGTAAATATAGCTAACAGCCTTCAAAAGCAGGCAAAATCCTACTTCCCTTGGTTTTCCATTGTTTACTGCCTGCTCTAAATATGCTTTGAGGTACCCAGCATGCCACATGTATAAGTGACATCAATGCTGTTTCCAGTATTAATTCTTAACAAGATTTCCTGGATTTTGGGCCGCTTCTGACTCTATGAAGAGAACGTTTTCAAGGCTACATAATAATGCTTCAAGCTAAATGCAGTCCTGCTGTAATTTCAATGAATGATAGAATTCCCAATAACCACATTTAGGAGCAAAGTCTGTTGTCCTTGAATTGATAAGCACAGACACGCTGTGAGTGCCCGAGGGCACAGTCCCACACCCTCCTCAAAATACTGCATGTGCGGTATAAAAAAGAGCAGAGCGTTCCCAGCTTCCCAGTTTTCCTTATGGCTAAATCAGAACATGCTCTTCAGGATTATTTTCTCACTTGCATTGTGGGTTACCCTTTCAAACTTGGGGTGTGGTTTTTCTTCATTTACATTTATTTTCCTTTTTTTTCTGGCCTTACAGGAGCAAGATAATACATCTTCTTCAGTTGTTTTTTTTTTTTAATTCATATTTTGTTGAATGTTTTTTCCAGCCTTATGGATTTAGGTGCTACCACAGCCACCAGCTTTACATTGTCCAAGAGACATAACCTGTTGTGAGATAGCATTCCTGTGTTTGTTTGTCAACCATATATCCAGGAAATATTCAACCTGTAAAGGTGTTATGCATAAAGCTCATAAAGAGCTCAAAATAAAACTTCTTGGTGCATCTCTTTACTTTGGCTTGAACCCCAAGTCTCTCATTTTCATTTTCCTCTTCTTTGTTCTTCTGCCTCAGAGTGGAAATGAAAAGGTGCTCTCCGGTTGTGACTCCCATACAACATCTGGAAGTCATCTCACTTTGCAATGCTCAAAATGCCTCAAGGACTCCTGATCTTCTGAAGTATTTAGAGAGACTTTCGTAGTGCTAAGCACATCCTCAGGAGCACAGTTAAGGAATAGACCTTGGCTCCTCTTTCTTCTCATCAGCAATCTAAAAAATCACTGGTCAGATAGACCAACATCTACTACACTAAGTTCCTCACAAATTCATACTCTTACTTTGGACTGCTCCCAGTTTCTTGGCTTTGGGGGATTTCAAGACCTCATCTGACCATCCCATTCTTCCCCTCCTTCCCTTCCTACTTGTGGCACTGAATTTTCTCATGTGTACATTGCCTATGAGAAAATAACATTAGACTATTAGACAGCAGACACTGCCTCCCATGATTAAATAATTAAGCTACCTGTTCTCTGCAAGACCACCTACCCCCTTTCTTTTTAAGGACACTTTGTGAGAGCTTGGTCTGGTGGGAAATAGATGCTTAATCAGCTCTAGCAGGAGATTCTTACAGGGTAAAGAATTTATAGCCACTATTCCCTGTCATCAAAGGAAAGCCAGAGTTGTGGACCTCATTTGAACTTACAAGCTACATCCATGCCCCTCCTCTGTTCCTATGGGCAAGTGGTCCAGCACTGCTTATGTTTATATGATTAAACTGTCTTCACTCCCCAAAACAAAGAACAGCTACTGCCTCCTGAGAATAGTCCCTGGCCTGTGTTGTCCCCCAACTGTGCCCAGGCATTGTCTGAGACCAAGCTCAAAACTATGCCAGGGAGAGTATTAGCAATTAAACAGCATGGATGATCAAACGATAGAGCTGGTATCCTTGCTCTGCTTATTTCACTTGCACAGACACAGCCAAGGAGTGGTTTTATTGACAGACTCCAATCTGAAAGAGCCTCTGATAGTTTTGCCACTCAGGAAAGAGGACTTGTTTGCATCGATTGATTTTTATGTGCCTTTTTCTTACTCTGCAGCTTGACTAGCATATATCTTTGGTCCACAATAAATCATAACAGTGAGCAGGACAAGGTTCTTCTAATCAGGCTCAGCAAACTCTCCTCCAGGTCCCAGCAGCAAAGCTGAATC